TAAAAAAGATGTTTTTGAATCAGTTTAAAAAATAAATTATTATTCTATTGTTTACAATAATATCAATATGAAATAATCCTGTTTAAAGCAGTTTTCATGAGATCAAATGTTAAACTCCAGCTCCCCCTACTGGCTGCAGTACCCCAGTTTCATTGTAATCAAAGTGTTTTTAAAAATGTAAGGTTTTACTGTTACAGTTATGCTCACAGTATATGTGTGTATGTGTGTGTGTTGTAATGTCACATTATTTTATTATTTTATTATTTTGTTGTTTCAGATTCTATTGGTTGGTATTTAGGTTTCCAACGTGTCATACCAACTTTGACCGTAAGATGGCGGTACAAATCTGAAACATCACAATTCAGCGTTCAGACGGAACACGAACATTACACTACGTTTAGACGCCGTAGCAGAGAATTTGTTGAAACAGCAGTGGTTGTGATGAAAAAAAGTGATTTCTTATTATTAGTATAATTTTTGTATTTTTTTAATTATTATTTATTCTTATTTCAATATATATATAAAAAACTCAATGACAGGAAGATTTGATGACGTAATAACCCTTCATTAATGTCTTTTTACTTGAACAGGTTATAACGTCATCAAACCTCTTTCTGTGTGTCTGTGTGTGTCTGTGTGTGTGTCCTGACCCGACCACTGACCTGACCCGCTCATTGGTCAGTTCTGTGAGGCTCAGGTTCAGATTAGGTCAATTTTTTCTCTCAGTGGACAGACGGTGGACAGAGATTAGAGACACGGACTTTGTGAAGGTGGACGGTTCTGATTGGAGGAGACTGAAGCCGAACATTTGTGGATCCAGAAATAATCTGACTGGACTGTTTAAACCTCAGGGGGCGGGGCTAAACGCTTGTAAATCCAGGTGAACGTTTTGCAGGTCACTGATGAGGGAGCAGGGGTGAGGAGGTGAGGAGGTGAGGGGGGGGGCAGGGAGGGGGAGAACAATGTCAGTACGTTGTTCCTCACCCTGTCGTCTTCTCTGAAGAACTAGAACTATTTTAAAGTCCAGATCAGGATGTAGGGCTTCGGTCCACATTCAAACGTGACGTCATATATTCACGCGCTGCAGTTACACTAATGAGCAGCAGCTCTAATTATCCTCGGGCTGCATGTAAAGACCTGGTTCATCAGTGATGGGCAGGAGTCGACCTTGTGGAGAAACTGCTTTAGAAAAAGAAGAGTTCCATTCCGCCTGCGTTCATTGATTTTCCAGGGACAATAGGAACATCAATAGTGAATCTAAAGGCCTCAGCGGCACCGATTTGAAGGCAAGGCTGAGCCTCACAAAGAACTGTTTTTATTCTGACCCTGCACACGAGAGCTGCACGCTCACAAGGTCACATTTTCTCCCAGGATACTGAAAAATATTCAGAATTTGTTTTACAGTCACAAAAGTTAGAGAGAAAGAAAATAAATGACAGGCTGCAGCGAGGACTGGTAAGAAACCACAATCCCCAGGTTTAACCACTCATTTAATCCACTGTAGTGGTGGTGGTTGGGGGAGGAAACTGGGGGGAAAGAGAGGGGGGGGCGCCACTGAACTGAGTCTGTTTAAAGACAGCAATGAAAAAAATGCCGTTTTATGAATGGGGTTTGGTTCAGTGGGTTTGAGTCGAGGCCTGTGTTTGAGGAGGACTGAGTGAAGCAGGTGCTGCAGCCCAGAACACTGGGCCACTTGTGGCTCCATTGACTGTCTCTCCAGACCTGACCAGCCTTTTACCTCCCCCAGTCCTCCCCCCACCCTCCACTCTACCCCTCCACCCTTCTGCTCCACATCAACATCATCTCACACTGGTTTTAACCCATTTCATCTTCATCATCATTCGATTCCCTCTTTCCTGTAACCTCTGTCCACACCATGATCTCCCAAATGGTAAATCTGGTCACCAAGCCCAAAAACAGGAGTTTCCCACACATAGGATCTAGGATGCAACCCACATTGTTATCAACAGACTCTGTTGTGTTTTTTTTTTATTAAATATTTTGTTCCACATTAAACACTGGCCTTGTGTTCATGGCCAACTTTTTCCTGACCATATTTTTGACCAATCAAATTCATATGGTCTACAGAAGTGGTCTACTGACCGAACTGAAAACAATATAAATTTGATCATATACATGTTCGTTAAATGTTTGTTTTTTTTACTTTTTTCATCTGAATTCCATGTTATTGACGTTTGTTTTCCCGCTCGCTCAGTTTTCACCTGTTTTATATTCTCTGATTTCTGTGCAATGACTCACACTGAGGTCACACCAAGGTCGTTCGCAGCTGATGTGACAAACAGGTCGTACGTGCACGTCCGCTGCCCGAGCTCTGAATTGCCGAAACATGTCATTTTTCATTGAGCGGCCGCAATCCATTTCTCTTTCTCTCATTTCATTGTTGACACACTGTGATTGCTGCAGCTTTGTTTCCTAGCAACTGAATTCAATTTCTCATCAGG